GTAAATAAATTAGAATTTTTTAGTTGCTTCCTGGTTCATATCACCTGTACTTTCTGGTATCATGTCAGGCATCATCTTTATCATTGTTGATTTCGCTGTTTTAAGAAGAGTAAGTTTTGCATACAAAGTTTAGCTGTCTGAAAAAGTGTGCAAAACAGTTACTGTGAAGCGTAAATTTGCAGAATAACCCCTTCAAGTGCGGTCTTCGCGCATTTCCATGTTTTTACTGGTGTTGTATAGCATTCAACTGTTTTGCCGTCACTTATCAAGGATCCAAATGTACGGCTTTCTGCTTTCTTTTTTTTTTCTTTTTTTTCTCTCCATTTAAAAAACATACTGAAATAGTTTCCAAACAGCCTTACCGATTATAACATTTTCATATTACAGCTGACTAATTATATATTATTTTACAGTGTTGCATCTTCGATCGTTGCCACTATGGGGTTCATTTGTTCTTAGCATTGGACTTGCCACTGTTATTGCTCTTGGACTTCATTTCATTGCTGTACCACGTATAAAAACAAATATTGAAAGTAAGAGTTTCACATCTTTCACATGAAACAGATAGATTTTTTTGTTCAATTCATTATGCAAAAATGCTGTAAAATGCTGCCTGAATAAATAAATTGTTTTGAAGAAAAAGTACAAAAGGAACCAGTACCAGTCTACGACGAAATTTGCGTTCGTAAAATGTCCTTTGGTGAGAACAGACCGACTCTAACAGATATCGTCGATGAACCCGACAACAAGGAATCAGGCAAGCCTAGTGCAGTCTTGTGAAAAAAAAATAAATTAAAAAACTATATCAATCACCAAATGAATAAAATAAACTAGATACTGTTTTAGATAGACAAAAGGTATGGATGATAAGTGAACAACAGTTGAGCTATCCCGTAACACCCAGTTTATCAACTATGTCCGTTCTTTCTGAATCCAAAATTACACTGGCGTCAGAAAACCGTAAGATTTTTATATGTCTTAATTTCTCACAGTTCAAAGCTTTCCCATGAACAAGAAAAAATTTTTTGCTGTACTTCTTTCTAGGCTTCAAACGATTCTTTAAATGGTTCTTGCCTAACCGCACCCGTCAAGATGACTTAAAGACGATGAAGGTATTTACCTCCCTCCAAACTTTCACCGCTTGCTTCGCCGGCTTCGCGCACGGAGCTAACGATGTTAGGTAAGGCTAATCAATTGAGATGACTTAGCATGTAAAACTACAGGAATTTCAAGCTTATAAACCATCTTTAAACGATTGTTTTATAGAACTATTTTTCAGTAACTCAATCGCTCCATTGACAGCTTTGTTGTCTATTTATGGTGATGGAGATGTCATGCAAACTGGTGAGACACCAATATATGTATTGATTTTTGGTGTTGTATCAATCTGCATTGGTTTGGTTGTTCTGGGAAAACGAGTCATCAAGACTGTGGGTACAAAAATGTCAACTGTAAATCCAGCAAGGTAAATTATTGAGTTTTTAGATGTCCAAATATACAGCTTGTATAACCAAAAGATATCTGTTAGAATAGAAGTATAAACCAAAAAAACCGGAAAAGTTGACTAAAAAATTTTTTTTAGTGGTTTTACCATCGAATTTGGCGCTGCAGTAACAGCGTTGCTTGCCAGTAAAGCCGGTTTACCGATCAGTACAACGCATTCACTGGTAAAATTTTTGTACATCTATCTTATCAACAACTATATATTTTTGAACATTTAAAATAATTTCATTGAGAAAGGAACAGCTTATCAAATACAGATTATAGGTTGCAGTGATTTTTGGAAGACTTTATAGAAATTTTCAGGTTGGAAGTGTTGTTGTGGTTGGTTGCATAAAATCGGGTAATGGTATTGACTGGACAATATTCCGAAATATTGTCATCTCTTGGCTGATTACCTTACCTGTATCTGGTAAGCTTTTTTTTTATCTCTTTCTTAAAAGGCAAAAAATTAGTTGAACAGTAATATAAATGTAAAAAAAAAAAATCTATAATTTTTTTGTCGTTGTTTTTGTAAACAAATTTTAACAATTTTTTTCTCTTTATTGATCAACTTATGCAAAACTTTTGCTTTTTCAGGTTTAGCTACAGCTGGTTTAACATGTCTCTTCAAATTGGCAGTTTAATGGTAATAATGGCACAAAAAGAAGAATAAAAAAAGCTGTTAAACAAAAAGGAAAAGAATCTCAGTGAAAAATATGTCTGTGTATAGCTGCCGTTTAACTGTTGGTGATAATTATAGCTGTTAATGCTAATAATAGCGTAAAATAATTCTTTGATAATGATAACAATGGTTTTAAGCCGTATGCTTACCGGTGATTATTGGTCTTTAAACTTTATTGGTTTAATAATGCCGAGAAACAGATACTTTCTTTTTTTCAACTTTTTTTAACTCTATCGTCTTTACTAAATTTTATAGTCAAAAAGAACTTTTTCTACTTGTCAAATGGATGAAAAAAAAAACGATAGAGAGCGAAAAGCGAAAGAAATTTTCCGGATATAATAACTGTTTCGGTTGTTGTTAAACATAAAGATCGGTGCTTTTATTTTTTTATGTTGCTTTATAGGTATGTCAGTGACATCTAAAATCGAAAATATAAATTTAAAAAAAAAATGTAAAGAAGACAACTGCTTTGAATGTAAAAAAAAACTTTTTGGTATTATGAGGAAAAAAGTAATTAAAAATAAGCTCATAGATCATTCAGCATCTTTTTTTCCTCTTTTGCTTTTAAAGAAATCGGTTTTACTGATGTCATCCATAATTTACGGGTATTAATTTTTTTTTTTTGTTATGCACATTTGGCAGTTTATTCCACAGTACCTCCTCTGAACGTTTATTAACTAATAAAAAGTGAATGAAACCTTTGACAAAGCATTCCCAAATTAATAACAATTTTTTTATACATATTACAGCAACTAATTTTAGAAAGTAATTTTTTTTTTTGGCAAAACATTTTTTCTTTTTTTTTTTTAACGGCTTATAATTTTTCAGCAAAAATTAATGTATCGAACTGCACACCAATATTAGCACTCAGTTTATAACATTTATAACTGACTGCTTGCCAAAAGAGTAAAATAAAAAAAAACAAATGTTAAGCAGTTTAAATTTTACTTATGAACGGTTTGACTGAGTGGCAATAACAAAAAAGTTTATCAGTAATGTTTAACAAACTTAAAAAGCCTTTGTTAAAGCAGTGAAGTTAAGTCTATACAAGTTGTCTGTTTCGAAAATAGATTAGTTTCAAACGTCATCTTCTTCAGCACATGGTTTTTCTTTTTTTTT